ATTGAACTCAGGACCTCTGGAAGAGCAGCCAGTGCTCTTAATCTCTGAGCCATCTCTCTGCCCTTGTTTTGTTTCTTTGAGACAAGGTTTCTCTATATAACAGCCCTGGCTGTCTTGGAACTTGCTCTATAAACCAGGCTGGTCTTGAACTCTCAGAAATCCGCCTGCCTCTGCCTCCTGAGTGCTGAGATTAAAGGCACGAACCACTACCGCATGGTGGTCTGGCCTTTCTTCATAGGGTGTTCTGTCAAAAGCCCTGTGCTCTGGGGAGGACAAAGACATCCATTCCTTTGTGAGTGGCTAAGGATGCCTGGTTCTGCTCCCACTTGATAGGAAAGGTATCAGATGCTACTATTATTTGAAGAGCCCATAGTTAGTGTCTATGAAGTCAGTTGTGGAATTAGCTTCTCTTTGGGGAATTGCTTAACTAGTAAAGACATGATTGGCACTACACCTGTAAAATCTTAAATTACAAGTGTATGAATGTGCATCCACTCCCAAGAGCAACTACTCAGGAATATGCTGTGTGATCCTGGAAGCAGGCCCCTAAGGTGCCAGCCCTCAGCTTCATGGCCCTGCAGTAGCCCAGGAGATGACAGTGTGCCCATGGGTTCTGTGCATGTGGAGACTAAAGGGTCTCTATGACTCTCATTTTCTTTTTTTGTAGACTAGGCTGGCCTCAAACTCACAAAGATCTGCCTGCCTCTGCCTCTGCCTCTCAGGTGCTGGGATTAAAGGCATGTGCCACCATGCCCAGCTTTCATTTTGTTTTTTGAGACTGGGTCTCATTCTATACCTACCTGGTTTAGAACTCACTGTGTAGCCAGACTGCCTTTGAACTTAATGGCAGTTCTGCCTTTGCTTTCTAAGTGCTAGGATAAAAGCATAATCCTCCATGCCTAGCTTATAGTTAAGATTTTATTTTTTTATGGATGTGGATGCCTGGAAAGACCAGGAAAAGGGCATTAGGCCAGGGGGTGGTGGCACACACCTTTAATCCCAGCACTCGGGGCAGGCAGATGAGTTTGAGGCCTGCCTGGTCCACAGAGCGAGTTCCAGGACAGACAAGGCTGCACAGAGAAACCCTGCCTGGAAAAAAAAAAAAGATGGGGGAGGCATCAGCTCCCTGAAGCTGGTGTTAAAGGAGATTGTGATGTAGGTGCTGGGAACTGAACTTGAGTCCTGGGAGGGCAGGAAGCACTCTTAATTGCTATGCCATCTCCCTAGCCTCTTCTTTTTTGAGACAAGGTCTCATGTAACCTAGGTATCCCTCAGACTTGTGTAGCTGGAGTTGACCTAATCCTCCTTCCTTTATCTCTTGAGTGCTAGGATTACAGATGTCCACCAGGGATCTCAGCTCCAGTGTTGCTCTTCTATATCCAGCCAGTCATATCACTTGGTATTAAGAAATTGTATATTCTACAAGGAGAACAGCTTGAATTGTTTATCTGATGGTAAACCTAGAAGTTTTTTTGTTTTGTTTTGTTTTTCTTTTTTCTTTTCTGGAGCTGAGGACCGAACCCAGGGCCTTGTGCTTGCTAGGCAAGCATTCTACCACTGAGCTAAATCCCCAACCCCTAGAAGTTTGTTTTTTTTTTTTTTTTTTTTTTTAATAATGATACTGAATTGTACTTCTGTTGTGAGACAGCATCCCAGGTCCTGGGGCCCTCAGTGTGAACCCTGTCCCCAGAAAGCCAGCAGGGACAGGTATGGGACTCGAGAGTCTGGTAGGAGTGGCCGTTCACTCAGAGGAAGCCAGCACCTGGTCACTGTTGGCTCACTGCAAGTAGATCAAATCCATCCACACTTGGCCATAGCACAGCCCTCAGTTTTCAGGAATCTCACTCCAGGGACTGGCTAATTAGAACCAGAGGGCATAATTAACTTGACACTCGTACCCCTGGCTCTTCTGAAGCTTTGCTGGCAGCCCCGGGCTTGGCCAAGTGAGCATCAGCCCAAGCCTTGCTTAAGCTTGGGGCTCTTGGAAGTTTTCCAGCTAACTGGCTGTTCAATGAGGTTGTCAAAAACAGCAACAAGGATAGGGCATTCTGGAAAAGTGGGCCCTGTCTACCGTGTCCACCCATATGTCCTAGCCTAGCCTCTGAGCTCATTTTTGGCTGGTTTTCAGAGTTTGTTGGAAGTATCAAGTTTGCTGTGTGATGGTGGCAGTGGTACACACCTTTAATCTCAGCAATCAGGAGGCAGAGGCAGGCACATCTCTGAGTTTGAGGCCAGCCTGGTCTACAGAACAAGTTCCAGGCCAGACAGAGCTACACAGAGAAACCCTGTTTCAGCACACACACACACACCGCCGCCCCCACCCCCACCCCTAATTGTCAAGTTCAGGTGAGGTTGTGGCATGATTCATGTTTCCCAGCCTTCATTAAATAGCTAGGTCTTCACTTAAAAGTAGTCTCTCCAAGTAAGACATGCATGTATGTGTTGGAGAAAATAACAAGACCTTTCCATGCAGGACCATCCTGTGAACACAGTTCTTGGAGTACTTTTGGGCCTGACTCTGGTAGTGGAGAATGCAAAGTGGTTTTTCCCACTACCCCTAGCACTCTCCATGTGACTTTCTCCAGCTCTTCCTTAGGGTCAGTGCTAAATTTAAGTACCTGGATCCTGACTGATTCCTGCCCAAAACGTCTACTCCTCCTTGTCCTCTGTCCCAGAAGTTGTACCGGCTACTGGGTACATTCTTCCCCCCAGGGCCTTTGAAGGACTCTTACAAGCCTGGATGCAGCTCTTCTTGTGGCCGGCAGGGAAACAGGAAGGGTACCAAACTTCAGGACCTAGCCCCAGAAGCCGCTAATGATGCAGGAAATGGAACTGCCTGGCATCTCTTGGCCAGGTGTCTTCAAGTTAA